GTGTGTGTGTGTGTGTGTGTGTGTGTGTGTGTGTGTGTCCTGCCTGCGGCCAGGCCATGCTGACCCCCTTCCTCCCCCATTATTCTGTTCCCGCCCCCCAGACACACACACACACACACCACCCTGAGGCTCACAGGCAGGCATGACCCCAGGAAGTAAGGGCTCTGGAACCGAACAGCATGTTGGGGGACACGGGGTGGGGTTGAGCCCAGGAGAGCACACAGTCCGACATGTCTGTGGGGACAAATAGATGATCCCCAGCAGGTACATGTAGATAGGGTGTCGAGGGAGCCCGTGTGGCCAGTCTGGCCTCGGGATACACCGTAGCCCGATGGCCAGGTCGAGGTCAGCACTGGTCCCGGTTGTGAGCGTGGTCCCCGAGGCCACAGGCCCAAGAGACGTTAAGGGAGGTTTTGCACACGCCCGATGTCCAGCGTGGAGTCTCCCCCTGCCCCCTGCTCTGCTCCCCTCTTCTCAGCAGCCCGGTCACTGCCTGCGGCCACCGCCGCAGTCTCTTGCCGCTGTTGGGGCCGCCGGCGGAGCCCAGGTCGGGTGTACAGAAAGCCCGTGGCCCTCCCGCCTCTGGGCTTTGGTGCTTAACATAAAACAGCTGCAGAAGCCCCCCACTGGGGCCGGGGACCCCCAGGTGCTATCTTCCGGCAGAGGCAGCCAGGTGGGGACCGATGGGCCACCGATGTGCCACGCTCCTCTGGTGCAGGGCTCAGCGCTCCCCGCGCCTGGCCACTTGGGTCCTTTTGGGGGGCCTGGGCTCTTTGTTCTGCGTGCACTTCCTTGGGGAGCCCGGGGGCGGCCTCATCCCCTGGGCTCCGCCGTCCTCCCTGCCTGGGCCAGTCCTCCTGACCCTCCTGAGTGCCCTTGCCTTGTTGCTGCTAACACTGGAGGCGGTGTTCCTGGCTGCCGTGTGCTGCTCGCACGTCCCCGCGTGGGTAACCAAACTTTTCAAGTAGTCAGAGCCGTCCTGAGGTAGTTACGTAAAAATACTTGGTTTGGCATTATTTTCTCGCCTGACGAAACAGAGTTGTCTTTCTCGTCCTCTCGTCGTCCCTTTAGATGCGCTCCCGCCTCTTTATTAATTTTCTGGGTGGAAAGCCAGGCCTGGCTGTGAGGAGCCTCCCCCGGGCCGCAGGACGCACACTGGTCTGTCTTCTCCCTCGCTAAAGCTGTTCCTGACGACACTTCACCACTAAGACATTCCGTCTCGCACCCACGTGGCTCGGGCTTGGGCAAGACTCAGGCCACGCAAAGACTCCCCCGGGTGCTCAGCTGGAGCCCCCGTTGCGGACGGTGGTTTTATTTTCTCTTTTCCACAGACTCTAAGCTTTTACGAGGTTTTTCGTTGTGTCGCATATGTTCTTTCTAGGTGGAAAAGGAAAATGCCACAAGACCCTAACTTCGGTTCCAATGGTGGCCGGGAGCACGTTGGGCCCAGGCTGCTGTTGGGGGTGCTGGGGACCAGGGCTGGCCGGAAGCCCTGCGGGGGGGAGGGGGGGTCACAACTTCTGCGTTTGTCTTAAATACAGTCAGCCGAGTATCCATCAGTTAGAGGGCCTGCACAGAGCTGTCATCCGGCCTCCTGCACTCCTGTCCCGCGTGGTGACCGCGCGGTGACCGAGCCCTCTCTGGCCCTGCTTGCCCATCCGCCCACGGTGGGCAAGGCCAGCGCAGGGGCTCTGGGACACACTTCCCTTCCTGCCTCTCACCGGTGAGGCCCGGGCTGCAGCCCTCACGGAGCCCTCAGAACCAACCGCGTACCTCCCTGACTTTATGATCCCTTTTCTACACAGACTGATTTTCTTACAAATGTATTTGGAAACCAGACCTTTGCTACCAACAGTGTCTCTGGGTTTCTTACCGGCCCCCACCCCCCCTTCCCGCTCGGGCCGTCCTGCCCACACCCCGGGCCACCTGTGCCTCCGCACTCAGGACACCTCGCTCTTTCTGACCCGCTCGCTCCCTGCTCTGGACCGCCCTTGCTGGCCTTTTGGGGGGCTCGCTGTCAGTGCCACGGGGCATCTTCTTCCTTAAAACCAATACTGTACCGGACGACCGAGGGCCCCGCTCTGCCCGAGCTCCCCAGGCGTTTGCTGCGTGGCAGCCTCAGCTCTACGCAGTTGTCCGCCGTCGGGGATGAACCGGTCACCTCTCAGGAGGCGTGGAGGGAAGAGACGTGTAATGAAGGGTTTTTTTACGTGACTGATTTTTTTTTAAATCGATGTTTAAACTAATAAATATTTTTTTATGAAGAGGAAAAAATGTGTAGATTACATTTCACGTTTTGTACTTTTCTGTTTGTGTCTTGTGTGTGTTTTGGTGTTTGCAACACCAAAGTGGAAAATGCAGTCCGTTGAGTGGGGAGTTCTTTGGGGTGGGGGTGGGCAGGGAACCCGTATGACTTTTGTATCAAGCTCTGGATCCCGACCAGGTTGTACATTTGGACTCTGGGTTGTGGGGAGCAGTCAGAACACTGCCAGGACGCCATAGGGACCTCGACTCGAGACACACAGCTGCTGCTTCCAACTTTGCACATCTTCCTTTTTAAAAAAGAAAACTCTGAGAAAATGCAAAAACTGGAACTTTTTGCAATATTATGAAAGAGAATCTTATTTTCGCTCATCCTGTGACGTGTGCGACGCTTAAGAAAGCCATACTTCATGGTGGTTTTTATTTTTTAGCTTCTATATCGTGTTTTGTACGTGGCCCTTTCAGAACTACTTGTAGTGAGGGTGCTGTGTGTGCTTTTCTTAAATATTTATTTTTTCAACATGCTTTCAACCTGTCAACAAAAACAAAACAGACAAAAAAGGGCAGTGTTTGAAAAACTGTTGTGGTTTTTTTTCCCCCTTGGGGATGATCTATATTCTATCAACTCTATATTAATCATCATAAACCTGTGTTTGTATCGGAGACGTGTTTCATACTCTGGGGGGCAGAGACTTTGGTAACGGGTCCAGCTGCTACCGTCTGCGGCCACAGGGCAGGCGGACAGTGCACCCTCTCTAGTGGTCTTGCGATTCTTGTCCGCCTCGGCGAGCTCCGGGCCTGCCTGTGGGTTCCTTTCTGTGACGGGGTTAGCTTAGACATTCTTGCAAAGCTTCCACTTTCAATAAACTGGGAAATTGCTGCTCAAGCAGACGCCTCATGAGTGTTTCACGGTGTCCCCTCCTCTGGCCTCAGCCTGGGTGGAGGTGGCCAGAGTGACTGCCCCTGCCCCCCAGCCCTTGGTGGTCTGCGGCTGGCCCCCCACCCCTGCCTGTGGCAGGGTCCCGGTTCCGCATCCTTCCCCCAGGAGGCAGACACAGTTTCTGGAAAAACCCCAAATCTTTAATTTTTCTCCTCGCCTGGTAGGGCCCAGACTCGAGACACCTGAGCTTCACAAACAGGAGACAAAGGTCAGCCCCCGGGCCCTGGAACCATCAGGTTAAGTGCAGGCAGGAGGCCCCTCCCCTCAGGGCGCATCACAGACTGGCCCCCCACGCGGCCCTGCAGTTCGGCCTCAGCGCCCTGACAAGTCCACGGGCTGACGGGCAGGGAGGGCAGCCACCCCCAGGGACCCCGGGCCAGGGGGACGGCCGTGAGGTTGGCTTTAGTGCAAAAGGCTGGTTTCTTCAGAGGCACTTTGAGTGGCAAGAACCCCTCCCCCCCAACCTCTGGGGGTCCAGGGTCACCAACTTCCCCCACTGTTAAAAAGTAGACCCTGCAGCTGGGAGAAGCCCCAGGCTGGGGAGTCGGGGGTAGCTTATTTTTTCCTTTAAAAAGTCCTGGAGAGCAGGCAGCAGCACGGTGTGGGGCATGG